CCATGAACAGCATGGTACTCTCTGTGATCTGCACGTACACCACACATGAGCTCCTGGAAGAAACAATCAACCCCTGCGGTGCCTAACTAACCTAAGCCATTCTTCTATTGTTTCTTATTCTGGACTCGATTGACAAGGCCATGGACTTTGTAACTGAGCTTGGCCAACCTCATGACTCCACACCCTACAACCCCCTCCCACCTTGCAAAAAAACACCCTAAACTGTAACTTCTGTAACTTTTCACTGCCCACCCCAAACCTATAAAACCAACTCCTATCCCACTGCCCTCTGCTGACGCCCTTTTTGGCCTCAGCCCACCTGCACCTGGCTGAATAAACAGCCATGTTGCTCACCCATAAGCCTGTTTGGGGCTCTCTTCCTTGAGAGCACATGTTTTAACACTAGGCACTGGACCCACCTCAGTGAAAAAATAAAGGTCTTGTTTCCTGTCCCTATGGAACTTAGAGTCTAGGAAGGATCCACTGAAAAGGCTCAAACAGTAAGCGACATGGTTAAACCAGGATCTTAGGAAAAATGAGTATTACAGCAGCTGAAGTGAAGGATGGATCAGAAGGTGGTGGTGAGGGAACTGGTCAGAAGGAGGCTGGAAATCACACAGGCCAGAAGTGAGTGTCTGAGCGTGGGCTTTGTGGAAGGGATGGAGAGGAGGTGATGTGTGATAAATCAGAGATGGCTGCCTGTCGTTGCTGTGCCTCCCATTAAGAAATGCAGTCTAAGTTTTGGCCCTGGCATTGAACTGCTTGATCAGTAAACAGAATGTGGCAGAAGTGACGTTTGGGACTTCCGAGACTGAGTCATAAGAAGGCACACAGCTTGCTTGAGGTCCCTGGAAGCTTGGATCCTTAGAGGCCTTGAGCCCCCATGGAAGAAGTCCAGTTACCCCAAGGCTGCCACGGGGCAGGTGCTCTGGAGGACGGTTTCGGTGGAGCTCTGCCTTCCAGGCATCCCCACCACGATGCCAGACATGTGAGGGAAGCCAACACAAGGCCTGCAGAAGGGCCCATCCACCAGCTGAACAGCACTTGACTGGCCGCCATGTACTCCATAGGGACTGCAAGGTTTGCCCGGCTGAACCCTATCTGATTCCTGATCAACAGGAATCTCAAGATATAATAAAATCATTTTCATTATAAGTCACGAAATTGTCAAGTAGTTTATTATACAGCAACAGAGAAACTGGAACAGAGTGGAAGACAGAGGCCTTCAGATGGCAGAGCCAACAGGGTTTACCCACTAGATGAGAGGAAGAACGCCTGTCACTAGAGGCGGCGCTGAGGGATTGAAGCATTGACATTAGGGTTGCCAGATTTAGGAAAAGAAAACTACAGGATGCCCTGGTGAATTACAGATGAAGAATGAATAACTTTGTAGTATAATATCTCTCGTGCTGTGTGGGACATATTTACACTAAACTCTCATTATTTACCTAAAATCCAAGGCTAACTGAGCACCCAGAATTTACCTGGCCACCTGGTCCAAGTTGGGGAAATGACCTGTGTCAAGGCTAGAGGTGGCCATCTAGGCAGACATGTAGGAAGCCTGAGAGATGATGGGGTGAGGGGTCATATGTGTAGGGTCTGGGAAGCCCGGGCAGGAGGCAGCTGAACTACCGGCCGTGGAGAGCCCATGTGGGTCCACGTGGGAACTGGCACATGTTCCCTTGGCAAGTGTCTTGGCTGTATCTGGGCCTGGGCCCCCTCTGGGAGGCACACTCTATGTGATTCTACTGACGGGGACAGGCAAGGGCAGCCCTCTCTTTCCTGATGTGCTGCCTCCCTGCAGCATGTAAGGAAGGTGGCCTGCCAAGAACTCCCTGCATGGCTGTGGCCAGGTGCCCAGGCTGCTGCCCCCTCAGCCCCTCAGAGGCATCTCCTTCTGCATCCCAACCTGTTGGCTCTCCTTGCAGACTACTATTTCATTAAATCCACAGACATCTCCTCTACGTCTTCAGAAGTGTCGACATGCCAGCACTGTCTGGAGAGCTGGCTGCTGGTGGTGTGTGGAGGGCCTCCCACAGCAGGGCTGGGTTGAGGCGGCAAAAAGATCTCCCTCCTGTGGGGCCTGGGGCTGGGGTACTCCCAGAATTCTCCATTCTGTCTTCCTCTGTTCCCAGCCTCCTGGAGAGCCGAGCCTTTTCTAGCCCCGGGAAGCCCCTGATAGAGGTGCATTCAGGCTGCCACTCTGGGGTCTGTTGCTTCTGTCCTGTCTCTCCCCAGACTCTCACAATAGCTGTGTCTAAGGTCCCTCACCTCGGGAGGAAGCTGTCCTCCCAAGTCTGCACGTAGAGCCGCTGCAGCTGAACTAGAAGAAGTGTGGGGCTCTGGCCTGGGTTGGGAAGTCCCTCTTATAGTGACAGCTCTTCCTTTGGGGCTCTGGCTTGGAGTCCCTTTGAAGCAGGCCTCGCTCTGCAACATCCTGTGGCTCCCCATTGCCCATGCATTAGCATGAATGGCCTGACTGGCCTCACTTTGACTACCACAATCTGTCCACCGCCTTTTCCTCCTCGTGACCCAGGCATACCACCCTGGTTGGCGGGGACCTTCCCTCTGCACATCCCTTTCCCCTCGCACTGCTCAGACTCCACCTTATTGGGAAACCATCAGACCTGCTGTGTACTGAGCACTGAGCTAGGTGCTCTAGAGGACACCGTGTGACCTGGATGAGGTTCTCTCTTCAAGGAGTGAGGGTTTCCCTTGAGAAGACAGGGAGGGATGGTAGACAGATGGGCAAACCAAGTCAGAACTGGGCATCTCCCTCTAGAGTCGAGAATCCGGAGCTGATCTCTTCATGGCTAGCAAGTGACTAAGTGGCCATGGTTGCTGAGCTTCAGGTGCCTCATGATGAACTATAGCCAATGCCACTCTCTTCCTTCCTACCCAGCAGAGTATGAGAATCAAGTGAGACAGCAAATGACAGACCTGGGTGCAACATGCTTCTTAGTGGACAGGGATTATTTTTGTCAGGTGGAGCGTAGCCTTGTCTGACTGTTGTTTGGACATAGAGGGCTGCTCTGCAGAAGTGGAGGACAAACGGTTCCACTCCACCAGGGTGGGTTGAGGCAGGTTCTGTGGAGAAGGGACACCAGAGGTGGGCCTGGAAGAGCAAGAAGGGATTTTCCATGAAGACGAAGTCAACGTGGGGCTGCGAGGGGTGGGAAGGGTGCTTCAGGCACTGGTGATGGCACATGCAAAACCACTGGAGAGCAAGAGAGCCTGGCATGTGCGGCCACCCAGGCTGATGCCCAGGGTGTACGAGGAGCCCGGGGATGCTAAGGGAAGGGGTCACCCTGAGGTCAGCATGGGAAGGCCTTTGCATGCTAGCCAAGGAGTCTGGACTTCATCCACTTGACAGTGGGGAGCCAAGGAAGGCTTTTCGCAGGAGTGACATGATCATGCCCCTTCTCTATGCCATCTTTGCTCCTCTCTCTTTCTTCAAATTTTGCCTCCTCTGTGGAGTTTTCTCCAAACATTCTGAGTCCTCCCACTCAGGGCACAGCTGATGCTCTTGGGGTTGACAAGGCAGGGGGCTGCCTCCCACCTGTCCTTCCCCAGTGCCAGCCTGAAGCCCAGCGCCACCTGGGAACCTCATGTTCTTCGCCGGATCTCACTGACTGTCCCAGTGTGCATAAACCGTGCTTCTGTCTCTTGCTCTGTGATGTTGGGATGAAATATTCAGTTGCCACCACAGCAAGGATTGACCTACATCTCTGGGGTCAAACCAGCCTGGAGGGGCCAAGTCATGTCTCCATTTGATTTTCCTGGATTAGAGTCAAGCTCAGTGACTGTAACAAAAACAGCACCCCCTTCCGTGGTTTAGAAGAGTTGTTGTCGCTAGATCTGGTGACTCTGGCCCGTTTTTACTTTGAACAACCAGAGTTGCCTTGTGGCTGGAGTACAAAACGCATGGAGAGCAGAGAGGAGGCTGTGTCTATTCGGTCCCTGTGGATGGGGACACAATCATCTCACGTCCTCCTTGGTGACCTCGAGGCCGCACCCTCATTCAGAGCCTCCAGGAATTCTCTGTGAGATCTTAAAGTCCCAAAGGTTCCTCTGGTTCTGTTCTTCACTTTACATGGGGGAAACTGAGGCCCCAAGTGGGAAGCACCAGCTCAGACCATGCTGGGGGCAGTGGCGGAACTGGGAGTAGAACCCTGCCTCTTGCTTCCTGGTGGGTGCATTTTTTCCTGGACCCAGCATGGTTCTACATATGGGGACTAAACCAAGCCAGGGAGAGCTTGGAGGGGAGGTGCTAGAGTTGAGAGAGAGCTGGAAGAAGGGACTGTCAGTGACAGACACAGGTGCAAAGCTGTGACAGAGAGGCTCGGGAAGATCTGGCTTAGATTTGGCCAAAAATTGTACACTGCTCATTTTAAATGCTTACGGTGTGCCAGGTTCAGCCACTCCTTCACTGGAAACGGTGGGTGGTCACTCTGGGAAAGGCAACACAATAGTTTTTTTTTTCCCTGAGACAGTCTTGCTCTGTCACCAGGCTGGTGTGCAATCTAGGCTCACTGCAACGTCTACCTCCTGGGTTCAAGGAAGTCTCCTGCTTTACCCTCCCAACTAGCTGAGATTACAGGCATGCGCTACCATGCCTGGCTAACTTTTGTATATTTAATAGAGACGGAGTTTCACCATGTTGGCCAGGCTGGTCTTGATCTCCTGACCTCAGGTGATCCACCCACCTCAGCCTCCCAAAGTGCTGGGATTACAGGTGTGAGCCACCACACCTGGCCAATACTTTCAATATTTCCAAAGTATGGAAGGAGGAGCCACCCTTAGGCTCTGCTTGGAACAGAGCTAGAGAGGACAGCTGGGCATGAGCTGGGTGTCTACTGCCTGCCAGGCATCCTTCTTACCTCCACCTGTTTCTCCTGAGCACCTAGTCAGTTCTGGGTGCTGAGGACATGGATATCAAAACCGAATCCTACAATTTATGGAGAAGACACCCATCTAAACAAATCCTTTTTTTTTTTTAGATGGAGTTTCACTCTTGTTGCCCAGGCTGGAGTGCAATGGCACAATCTCAGCTCACTGGGCAACCTCTGCCTCCTGGGTTCAAGTGAATCTCCTGCTTCAGCCTCCTGAGTAGCTGGGATTACAGGTATGTGCCACTATGCCCAGCTAATTTTTTGTATATATATTTTTTTGAGACAGTGTCTCGCTGCGTCGTCAGGTACCAGGATGGAGTACAGTGACACGATCTCGGCTCACTGCAACCTCTGCCTCCCAGGTTCAAGTAATTCACCTGCCTCAGCCTCCCAAGTAGCTGGGACTACAGGTGCGCACCATCAGGCCCAGCTAATTTTTTGTATTTTTTAGTAGAGACGGGGTTTCACCATGTTGGCCAGGCTGGTCTCAAATTCCTGACCTCAGGTGATCCACCCGCCTCGGCCTCCCAGAGTGCTGGAATTACAGGCGCCAGCCACCACACCCGGCCTAAGCAAGTACTTTCCACAGAATGATCTCATCCCCTAGCACAACATCAACCTCAGGTGGGAGGAGGGGTAGTCAGTGGAGGCTTTCTGGAAGAGGAGTCACCTGAGATCAGTCTTGAAAGACAAGAGAGAATTAAGCAGACTGCAAATAGGACAGAGTGCTCTCGGCAGATGAAACAGCGTGAACAAAATCAGGGAGGCAGGAATCTGTGTGAAGTGATTATTGCCTTGTGCTGAGATAACACACACCCAGCCCAGGGTAGAGGGAGGGGATGCTGGAGGGCTCAGGCGGGCACTGGGTCTACTGGTAGGCCACCCTTAGCAGTTCGATTTCATCTTACAGGTTCTAAAGCTGGAGAGCAGCTGGTTTGGATTTGCATTTTAAGTGGTGACCCTGGCAGCCCTGTGGCAGCTGACTCAGTGAGCACAGGCATGAGGCAGGGGAGGCTGTTGCAATAACCCAGACAGGAGATGATGAGGGCTTGACCTTGGGCTGTGGTAGCGGGACACGGAGAGGGATGGGTTGAGAAACATTTAGGAGGTCAAGTTGTCGGGACCCAGTGACTGATTGGATGTGTGGGAAGAGAGAGAGGGAGGAGTCAAGGTGGCCTTGTCCTGGGGCTGAGCATGGGGCAACCCAGCCCTGAGGAATTCTGGGGGTGGAGCAGACTTGAAAACTCAAGGCTGATCTCAGGTTGAGACATGGTGAGTCTGAGGTGCCTGTGAGGTGTTAAGGTGGCCACAGAACCCAGGAGGCAGCTGGAAACCCAGGGTCTGGAGGGCAGGAGAGGCTGAGGCAGATGCCTAGGCCTGGAAAGGATAAGTCCATAGCAGTGGTGGGGCCACAGGAGCGGTGACACCACCCAGGAAGACGCACAGAGGGGAGAGGGGATCTCTCCCTGCCATCCCTGGCCTTCAGGGAGTGGGTGGAGGAAGTGGGCACCCGCAGGAGACGGGGGATGGTCAGACAGGTAGGAGGCTAGCAGAAATGGTGACGTTGCATGGGCCCAGGGCAGGACGTGCTGTAAGTGTGAGGGTGTGGGGGACTGCACTGAACGCAGTAGAGTATCCCACAAGAAGAGGCCAGCAAGTGGCCCGCCAGGCAGAGGTGGAGGTTAGGGAAGATGTCCTTGGGATGGGAGAAACACGAGCATGTGTGGAGCCTGGTGGAAACGGGAAGTCTTGGTAGGACATGTAGAGACGGGTGAGGCTCCAGAGCGGGCCTGCCCAGCACCTCACTGCAAGGGTGGGCTGACAGGTCGAAGAGGGACCTTCCTCACCCTCTGCTTCTGGACAAAGGATACTCAGGATGGGTGTGGGGCTGTGTCTGGAGGCAAGGCAGGGGCAGCAGGTTGCACCAAAAAGCCTTCATATCTTGATGAAGCCAGGTATCTCTGGGAACCGAGGTAGGCAGAGGGAGAAGGGTGAAGGTCAGCGAGGCAAAGAGCCCTTGAGGGAAATGGAGGCCCAGCAATCAGGTAGAGGACTTGGAGTTCATGTCCGGGGTGTAGTTGAGACTGGAGATCCCACGTGGACATTGGCCCCAAATCTTCATGCTGTGGGGCCTTTGCCAGCCCAAGCTTGCTGTGTAAAGCCTGTGGCTGGGTTGGCCCCATGTGAAGTCCGACTGGGAGGAGGAAGGGAAGGATGGGGTACTAAGAACTCAGGGGCAAAACGTGCTGGCTGGGAAGGTGGAATTCGAGAGGCTGGGAGAAGGGGAAAGTAGTAGAATCAGGTGGCATGAACCCTAAATGAGAAAAAAACCCATTCTAGGGCAGGGCGCAGTGGCTCATGTCTGTAAACCCAGAACTTTGGGAGGCTGAGGTGGGCAGATCACTTGAGCCCAGGAGTTCCAGACCAGCCTTGGCAACACGGCAAGACCCTGTCTCAAAAAAAACAAAAAAACAAAAAACAAAAAAACTAAAACTAAAAAACAAAAAAGAAAAATCCTCATCCTGTGTGACTGATGGCATCACAGTCTGGAAACACCCCTAGGGATGTAAAAGGGATGTGGGGATCTTGGGAACCACATAAGGGAGTGAGATGTAGGAACAGAAAGAGCTGCCCCAGAAAGGACAGAGGAGATGGATCACCAGAGGCAAGGCCTGCATCATGAAGCTGATGACAGAGGGGCTGTTCTCAAAGAAAGTGGGGTCCCAAAAGGGCCAGCGGAGATGTCCAGGAAGGAAAGTAGGCGAGGCTTGGTGAGGCAAAGCACAGACGGGGAAGATGACCGAAGGAGGATGCACCCTGAGCTGTCAGCAACGAGGCAATGGTGGGCAGCAAGGGGCAGGGTTTCCAAGAGGCAGGGATCTGTAGGATGAGTAGGATGAGTAGGAGTTTCTCTGGGGAATACAGGAGACGACAGGCAGGGCAGGGCAGAGCGGTCAGCAAGTGAGAACTCATTCATTCCACAAACACTCTCAGGGGCTTTCTGTGCTTGGGATGCATCAGTGAACCAAGTGACGATCCTCACTCTTCTGGATCTTACACTCTTGCTGGTAGGGGTGGGGGACAGAAAACATCACAAACATGGTCACAGGTGAATTGTAGAGTATGTTAGAGGGCCACGAGGCTGGCCAAAAGAACAAGCTGAACGGAGCCAAATGGAGCTGTGCAGGTGGAGGGGACACGGGCTGGGGTAGCCACTTTGAAGTCACCAGGTGGTGGTTAGGGCGCCCTCAGTGAGGCTGGCGCTCTGGGCCCGTGCAGAGTTCCACCCAGTTTGACAGGCAGTGGGGTTGGGGATCTCGGGAGAGGGGCCTGTACAATTACTTTGCTGTGTGGTACATGGGAAAATCTCAAGACAAGAATCTTCAGGTTGGGTGAGAAGGGATGAGAAAAGGAAACAGAGAAAGCAGAAGGAAACCAATATTCACAGGCACCTGCCGAGGGCCAGGCACAACTCTGGGGTGGCCTCTTGAATAGGTCTCTCCTGACCCTCAAGACAAACCTATGAGTTAGGAAGGCACTGTCCTTATGGGTCCAGTTTATTTGAAAATGATGGTACCCTCAACGTGAGCTAATGCTCAGCGCTGTCCTGAACATTTTGCCTGGATTTTCCCAATGCACCCTCCTGAGCTCCCAATAAGGCTGGTGCCACTGTCTCCATTTCCTAAAAACAAGCCCGAGGAAGCTTGGAAGTGTTATGGCAGTGGCCAAGCTGGTGGACCCCACAGCCAACCTGCTGGGCTGACTTCTCTACTCACCAGCTGCGTGGCTTTAGGCAGTTCCTTAACCTTTCTGGGCTCAGCTTCCAGACCTGGAAATGAGGAGAGTAAAAGCACCTGCGTTGCAGGGTGGTGGTGAGGATGAAATGAGGACATATATGGAAAGCACGCAGAACAGGCCCCTGCGCTAGTGGGCGCTGTGCAAGGGTGCACTGCTACTCTAGTACCATTCTTGCCCAAGCTCACTCAGGTAGGAGGGGGAGACGAGGGCTTTCACTGGGAGCCTGGTGGGACCGGCTTTTGCCTCTTCTGGCTGACACTTTGCTCTATATGGTTCTGGACACTTGCAGGGCTAGGCTGGGGAGGAAGGAGCTGCGTGGCTCCCACCAGGCCTGCTCCTTTGCGGCAGGCATGTGACATATTGTGGCGTGATGTGTTTTCCCCTCATGGTGCAAGACGTGACTCAGAGGGGCATGCTGGGGAAATGAGTTTCTTGGATTTGCCCACCTCATCGCCCCTGCATTCTTTTGAATTTCTCTGAATCAGACTTTATATCTGGCTTTGCCATTCACCAGCCTTATTTATGCAGAAAACAGCCCCACATTTCCAACTTGCTCCACAGCAGTAAAGATTCATCTTTGGCCCGGGGAGGGTAGGAAAAGGGGAGGGGAGGAAAGGAAAACGAAAAAGGAAGGAAGAAAGAAAGAGCCAGCAACAATCAAAACAACCTTTTTCTCCCTGTGTAATCTGGGCGGCTTCCAGGAGGATAATGTCTTTCCACCGTGGATCGCCCCCTCCCTCCCAGGCTGTTTTCGCAGGAAGTAAATCCTGGAGCATTTTCAATGTGCCCCTCGAGGCAGAACAATGAGGCCCTTGAAGCCTCGGAACCCGCGCTTCCTCCAGTTATCCGGAGCCGCGCCGCGGAGGGGAGCCATCTCTGGGGAGGGGGCAAGGGGGAGGGGGCGAGTCTGCAGGGCGTTTCGGAGCCGCACGAGGGAAGCCCATTAGTCAAATAATAGGTTTGGATCCGACTGTTTTGCCAAGGTACCCGGCATTTATCCGGCTCCCCGATTGGGGGCGGGGAGCTGGGAGGAGGCGGCGAGGATCCAATTACGGCTGCTCCTGCCCGGTCGCCGGGAGGTGGCGGCGGGCCGGGCCGGGCCGGGCGGGGCCGGGAGGCGCGGGGATCGGGGATCGGGGATCTGGAGCAGGAGCATCGGCCGGCGGGCCTGCAAGCACCGCGCCCCAGCCCCGGCCCTGCGCCCCGCGCAGGCTCCTCCCGCCCCGCGGGCTCAGCTGCCTCATTGTTTATTGTGGAGCCTGCCTCTCCCCTGCCCGCCCGCCCTCCGGCTCCTTTCTCCCCTCCTCCCGAAAGAAAGAAGAGCCAGTCTGTGGAGACGAATGAGTCATGAATAAACAAACAGCGTGGGGGGAGCTGTCACTCCGAGCTGACTTCCTGGCCGCGCTCCGCTCTGCGACCTCCTGGCGGGGCGCAG